ACATGGTTGATACTCCTATTTATACTACGTAGGAGCACAATAGACAAAAGGAGACAATAAAGTAATGTACGGACTGCAGATCAACCACCTGAAATACATTGCAGTTGATCTTGTCTCCTACTGCTATTACAACGAGCAAGACAAATACTACAAGACAAAAAGCACAAGTCTTCAATTCATCAGTTATTGTCTCTACTTCGGAAGCACAACAAACTCAAAATCTCCATTACTTCAGATAGGCTTTAATCTCGGAAACTCAGTAGATAGCACCAAGGGTCATTTTTCTTGTATTAACACCCCTACGTTTTCTATAAAATGATATTGTCCATCAATTTACTTTTTAAAATGTCACTTTCACCCCTTCCACCTTCAACTTTGTAAAATGTCTTTTTTATTATAAATATATACAAAATGTAAACTTTCGCTTGGTGAGAGAAAATTAGTGTAGCTAATAATACAACCAACTAATGCACAATGTACAAGTTTGTCAATACGTAAAGTGCAACTTTAATCCCTCAACTTTGTATAATATGTCACTTGCAACTCTTCTATTTTGTAAAATGATATTTTACATGTCTCTACTTTTTAAAATATCACTTTGACCCCTTCTACCTTCAACTTTGTAAGATGTCACTTTTACCTTTTCGTTTTCTATAAAATGATATTTTTCATCCATTTACTTTTTAAAATGTATCTTTCACCCCCATCCACCTTCAACTTTGTAAGATGTCACTTTTACCCCTTCGTTTTTTAAACTTTCGTGTTTATCACCCGTCCCATATTTTCCCTCCTCTACTTTGTATAATGTTGGTGGTACTACTTCTTTTTACATTTATGCCCCCTATATTTTTATGGATTATTCCAAAACCATCCAACTTACATAAATAGTCCATAAACTCTTCTCAACTTTTAATAAATCACCAAACGCTCATTTCTTTTAAACTTTTAGTGTCTTTGAAGTTGTGATATGTTATACTGTTTAAATCAATTTTCATGTCTAATATGCAAGAAAAACAAATGTAAGAACCTACGACAAAGCGTACACTCAAATACTAGTTTTATACAAATTTGAAATCTAATATATGTATATAAAATATATATTTTAAGCATTTGCTACAAATTAATTGAATTACTTTTCCCGTTTTATTCATTCCTAAAACCAAAACCATATCAGAATCTTTGGTTTTTTAAAAAGAAAAAACCAAACCCTCATTTTATGTTTTGTTTCGGTTTTTTAGTTTTCGATTCACTTTTTGCTATCTATAGTTGGGGTGGGGTATAAAAATATGTATTCAAAGTTTCGGTCATCTTAATAGTTACCTCAGTAACGATGGCCTCGAATTGAGACCCACTATTGGCATCGTATGAGTGATCGATCTCAAATAAAAAAAGTAAAATAATTAAATTGCTCTGAAATAATGACAAGTTTTGGAGAGATTTTATTTTTGACAATTTGTTATAAACAAGATGACACATTTATATACAGAGACATATCATATCTTTAGTCATACAACCATTTGACTAAGGGCTTTATATTTAAATATACTTCCATGATCTTTTTATTTAAGATATATATTACATGTCACAACTAATTTATATGTTAATATCTTTTTTAGATTGTACAAACCCAAAACTAATTTATAAATTAACTTTTCAAAAAGCTATTTTGAGTAGCTTTTTAATGAGTTTATAAATATTTTTAAATTTTCTTCTCGCTCTATTAA